AGATCAACACATGTTTTAGTCAAGTGCTAGCAAAGCACAACCCAAAAAATGTAATTATACTCTAAAATCAACTATGGATAACATGGATTTTACAGTTCTATTTTAATTAATATATTGATTTCAATTCAAAATTCATTTTTTTTTCGCATCCATTTTAACTGATTTTTTTCTCTCTTTTCATTCCATTGTAATTTACAATTGTAAATTAATTTACTACCGAAGCCGAAGCCGAAAAAAACACCAAAGCCGAAGCCAAAGCCACAGCCAAAGCCGGAGCCAGAGCAACCATCAAAGACTAAACGGAAACCCCGTGGACCAGCAAAAGAAATTCCACCAATCGATCCAGAATTCAAGGCAATTGTGGAAGGTCTTGATGAGGTCCATCGCTTTGATTGGCCTAGCAACAAAGATTTCGGTAATGGCCTCAAACATCTATGCAATCAATACATAGACAACAATGTCACCAATTCGCAAACACATTCGGATAAACACATAACCCAATATCTGAAGATGAAAGTGTTTCAGATGAACACAAATGAAGCCATTGAAGAGAAATACCTGCCAAGTGACATCGACTGTGTGGTGAAACTCATTCTCAAGGAAAAGGTATGTTGAAAATGTTTATTCAAATCATGAAAAGAACTGAGTTTTCAATGGTTCATATTGTTTAAGCTTACAATGGTTTTTTTTTGACTCGTTGACATATTTTTTTAAAAATGAATTTATTCTATTTCCCTTGTTTCATTGAAAAAGGTCATCAAAGTGCCAGCTAGTGACCCAAATAAACTTTATCGGTGCGGAGTTTTGTATGACATCGTCAATAAGTTGAATGTGTTCCCGGAAATCGACCTACATGATCTCACGACCAGTTCAAAAAATTGGTTCAAAGCTGTGCCGATGTATCTATCTATGCAACGCGAGATAGAAGAATTTAATTTGCTGCGAGCACATCAAGAGCCACCGAAGAAACGCAAAAAGAGAAAGCGCAGAAGACCGAAGGGTAAGAAACGACAGTGGATCATCAAACGAAAACAAATGCTCGACGATTTGGAATATCTACCGTGCATTCGCAATTTGGTGGTAGTTCCGATGTGTGATTTTCGGCGTACGCATTTCAAAATCGACTGTTCGAGTATGTATCAGATCTTGTCTTCTCAAAAATTGATTCCGAAACAGTTAACTGAAGACGGAAAACCAAGTGACAAAAATATTTCACAAAAGGTTTTCAACGAGAATAAAGATTACATATGGAATCAGTATTTTTATATGCGTAAAATTCGGTGGTTTGTGCGCCGCAAAAAGAAATTTGACTTTTCGATAAACAGCGATGGAATTGCTGTGTCTCTGCAGTATTCCACCAAAAAGAAGGAGACCAGCAACACACAATCGGGCACCAGTCGATTGGACATCATTGACATGTTGAAGGCGGGCAAATTCAAAAGATTGGGAGGTACAGATTCAGGCATGCGGAACTGGAATACCACAACAATACATGAAATTGATACTTGCAAAGAAGTATGTGTAGTATACTAAAATACAATGATGCACATTGTGCTTAAGTTCACTAATTATTTTTGTTTTTTTTTTTTCGATTTATTCGCAGATCAACTTTGTTAAAAAGAGCAAGCAGTTCCATTGGGAGACACATCAAAACGTACGAAACGCAAAAGCGAAGCGATTCACGAAAAATTTCATCGAGAAAGAAAGACAAGATCGAGAGAATCGTGAGCTGTACGCAATGATGCCATCACCAAAAGGTTCACAGTGGCTGAGCTATATTAAGCATCGAGTTAAGATGACCAAACATGGAATCGAAGCTTACTCGACTGCAAAGTACACTAGACTCGCCTTGGACAAATACATTGGGAGCAACAAAGTTATCGACGGATTTGTGAACAAGATCACCAATAAGGAACCGACTCTGTTATTCCATGGTGCTGATGGCGAAGTACCACCTGATTGCCCGATAAGAATTAAAAAACACGTGCGGTGTCCGGGTGTACGCAAACTGATGCAGGCATATAAGAAGCGACCATACATTGTTGTCGTGCCGGTGGACGAATGGGGAACATCTCAAACAGACGCAAGATGTATGTGCCGATTCCAAAACCAACCCAAATCGGCCAAATTCAAGATGTGTCGGTGCATACCCAACGCCATAACACTGCTGCCAACCAAAATTGTGTCTAAGTTTGGCAAGACAGATACATCTACATATCGACAGTTACAACGCACATTGAACGGAGCATTTGAAATAGAAGAGGAGCTAATGTCAAGAGTAAAACCTTACTACAAAAAATGGCAATTAGACCTCGAATGCACCGTGACTTGGCATCGTGACGTCGTGGCTGCTAAGAACATTCTACTGAAAGGTAAGGATATTGATACACAATGTGATTGAATGATCGCAAAAAAAGATTCATTTTTTCGATTAATCAGGACTATGGACATTGCTTGGACTTCCAATACCTGCTGCAATCAACCGATATTGGAATCAAATCAACGCCGATGCCGCCGTCTTCGACGACGATAACGACGTGGACATATCCGAGCCCGAGTTCGAATAGCAGCCAACTAATCATCACAATACCATACAATAAAATAAAATAAATCATAAGTAACATTTGTTACGTAACTGCTATCCCGAATATGTGGGTTAGTTATGCACAAAAAAAGTCATTTCCCATTTGGTTGAGATGGCTGTGCGGGAGTACAAACAGAGCGTTTTTCCATTGTAAGTATCATTAGATTTTGAAAACAGTTTTTTGCTTCGGGAAGTGCTAACATCAATCGCTTCGTTGTATAAATGCCATTAACTAACATAGAATTTTGCCTACTTTAAATTAATAAATACCATTTTTCTATTTACAGATATGGGAAACACCCTAATGTACATTGTACATTTTGTTACGGCGTCTATCAATACTGCGATCACAGTTTCAATTTTGTTTATATCAAACGAGCGTTGTGTTTACTAAAGAATTGTTTTTTGTATGCTAATTTTTCTCCTATAATTTCTTCAACACACACATACATGTGATTGGCATCGTCAAAAGGCAAGCAATGTGTATCCGTTTTTCACGGGGGACGGCAGTCCCCCAAGTGATGCAATAGGTACTTTGGCCGACACCCTCCTTATTTTCACCCCGCTCGATTTAAAGTTCGGATTTTATTTTCAATAAATTTGTATGAAAGTAAATTGGTTTTAGTATTGTTGTAGATAGTATTCGAGGAGCTCTATAAGATAGGCCCATCTCAAAAATGCAATTTTGATTTTTTTGGAAAAAGAGTTGCAACAAAAAAAAAATCGCCCATTGATTTTTAAAAAAGTCATCCAAATCATATGCTTGCGTCAAAATTTTTGCTCAAAATTCATGTATTTTTGAATTCAGCATGCCCAATTTACATGAATCACCACAAAACTATTTCGTGCAAACTTTTCTTCAATCAGAGTATTGGGTTTCATACAAAATCTAAATTTTTTCGCTTAAATGCATTTAACATGATTTCACATCGACTCGAAATTTTGCAAGGAACTAGAATTTGGTGAAAAATGACCAAAGCCAAAACAAATTCATTCTGTTGCTGTCTTGTTGACTAGAATTATGTTTAGTATATGTCAACAAAATGAATTTTTATTTTTTCATTCGGAACCATTACACTAAACACATCCTGTTTATAATTATGATGTACCTTTAGTCACGTAATCATACTTTTCATTTTTGTCACTTATTGCACTTTGTTACATCTTCAAAATATGATCCTAGCAAAATAGTGCCCTGAAAATTATATTTTTGTCAAATTTTCTAAATTTTTTTGTGTATTTTGGCGTTAATTTATTTAACAATAAGTTAAACTAGTTAATACCAGAATATAAACAGGAAAAATGGTAGATTTTTGGTTTTGTCCATTTTTGACCACCAAACCACAAACAATTTTCCGAAAAATGGCATATTCGGAAACAAGAGTCCGGGTAGAAAGTGTTGAATTTTTTTTGTTGGAATCGATCGAAAAGTGCCCGATATATGATCATTCCAAAAATATAATTCTATTCCAAAAGTAGGAGAAAAACTAAGCACATATGTCTCCTTAACCCTCCTAGGTATAGAGACGGTCTTTTGGTATAGTTTTGAAAAAATTGAATAAAAATCTAAGTAAATTTAAAAAAAATCAAAATAATAAACTATTAAAAATAAACTATTTCTAGATTCGAATATAATTTACTCCGATTTGAATGACATTTGATGACTTTTTTTTAGCTTATTTCAACCAATGAGTTGTCAGTAAAAAGTATTTACAGAAAATCACTACACGGAATGCATTAATTAAAATCGCATAAGACTTTTTATTTTCATTTAACCCTCCTAAGTATAGACCTTTAGGTCTATTTCACTTAATAAGCAGCGTTATGAACCAGAAAAAATGTTTTTAAAATGTGTTGAAAATTTTTGAAAAATTAAAATTTTTGGTCAAATTTCAAAAAATGGACCCCTGGAGGCGCTAGGTCTGTGACATCAATTATGTCAAAAAAACGTCATATTCGTAAATCTTACATATTTTTCCATAACTTATAACTATAGCCAGTATCCCTTCTGAATTTTCACAAAAATCGAACCACCCTACTTTACAGTGCGAACGACAACTCTCTTTTTGGCTCTAGACTAGGCATGGGTAGTGCTATTCACCAGCCAAAAGAATAACTCGTCAGTGTATATAACTTCGATCCAATCTCTTGTTGAATTTTGCTTTGCCCAGTCAATGCGTTTTTCTTCTGGTTTTCCGTCAAAAGTGATTTCTTCACTGTACTGCGATAATGAACACCGGCGACATCCAATCTTCTTTTGAGCGTGGTCTTCGAGACGTCTATTTTAAGACGCCGTAGTCGTTCAACGCCTTGGCGCAACGTCATACCTGGATTTTCATCGAACAACCTGACTATCCGTTTATTATCTTGCTTTGGCGAGGTGGCTCGGTTTGGCTTCACATTGGGCTGATCGTTCACATTTCTTTCACTGTTATAATGGTCAATCCAGTGCTTGATGAACCGTTTTGACTTTTTAATGTATTTAGCAATTGATGCGATTGACATTCTTGGTCCTTTTGGATGTAAATGCAAAAATACCGCTTCAAAATGCTTATGAAAATATTCCAATCCATGTTTTCGTTGCACAACAAACACTGTAGTGATTTGAGAACTCTCAATGTTAATTGGCGCATTAGCTTAGGGTGACATCTGGCGACACCAAAAATATTTTCAAGATATTTGAAACTTTTTGTGGTTAAATCAAGCGGCCTCTACTATGGGACAGACTGTATTCGTACTCCACATTGTGGACTCGCTGCGTTCATTGTTTATAATGCAACACATGGAATTACACGAGATCTATATTCATTTCAACGCAAGAAATTTTCGATCGAATTATCGGAAGCATTGGTGTATGATCAAATAGCACGCAGATCAACTTATGGATTTAATAAAGCGCATCGAGCTGTACTCAGCACAGTTCAACAGCACCGTCAACTTCAACAATGCAAACCAAACAAGATAAAAAAAAGTGCATGTCATTTATGTCCCACTAAAATCAATCGAAAGACGCGAACACAGTGCAGCAAATGTATGAAAAATGTTTGTGGTGAACATTCCGAAAGAATTGTGATGTGTACGAACTGCACCAAAAAGCGTCCGTATGAAACTGCATCATCAGATTCCAATTAATTTTGTCATAAATTATTTATTTTTAACCTTTTTTCCCATTTAATATATAATTTTGTTCATTTCATAGACTTTTCATACATTTTGTATGGGCGGTCAAATGGACCGACTCTATCCGTTCAAGTTTTTTTTTTACTCTATACCTAGGAGGGTTAAATTTTTGAATTTTGTTCGGATGCACTTTTTTAAATTTTCATCCAATAGCCTACTTGGTGAGTATATGAAACGTGCGGCAATGATTTATATATCGTTGGAATATGCAAAAGAACACAACAATTATAATCAATAAATTCCACTATTTCGAGTCAAGAAAATGTTCTTTTTGCAATAATAATGCATTTTATTGTCATTTTTCCGTTAGTTTTGTATTTGGCTCTGCTTTATTAAATGGAAGGTAGAATATTTGCGAAACAAAATGGTAAAATTTCAACACTCTCAGATCTTACGTAAATTTTAAACACAAAATTTCTGATATCAATTTTGTGACGAAAATAGATGATAGATAATTTTTCTGTGTACTGTCAATAATAACCATATTTTGAGTCCGACCAGGTGGTCCGATTTTCAAACTTCAATATTTTTTCTTAACCTATAGCCCAAGAGCTTTCCAACTATACATCAGTCGGGGCCAAAGGCATTCTAATTTGGGATTTGGAAATTATTTGGACATTAAGTGTATATATAGCAAGTCGACTTTTCAACACACTAATGTGGTTTCGTCACTCGCGCGAACTGCTGTCCGCTGTGATTGATGCCAATATATTGTATCGAATGATGTGTGAAACCAAAATCATCCCGTTAGATGAGTATGGACGCCAAATGGACGAGAAAATTGGAGAAACTATGTGTGACAAGATGGTAAGAATAAAACATAGAGCATTTGTTGAAGATATTTGATTTGCTAATAAAAAAATATATTCTTGTTTCCAAATAGACAAATGGTGCCTGGTATGATTTTCTTCAAAGCGGCGAATATCACACCCAACTCGCCGATAAATATTAAGAAAAACATTCGCTGTCCTGGCAACCGGAAGCTGATTAAAAGTTTTAAGAAAATGCTGGGCAACGTGGTGAAAATGGTGAACGAGTCCCGAACGTCACGACTGTGTGCAGTTGTGCACGCTATTTCGAGCCGTTTCCTTTGGAAACATTGGGTCATCGTTTCAAAGTGTGCAAATGGTGTGTGCCAGATAACAACGACTGGCCAGAAGGATTGAAACTACCCGAAAAAATCGTGACGATGAAGAGCAAGCGAATGCTGCTATCGTAATGACAAGAATTGCACAATGCAATGGTTGCGAATCCAAATATATTTGATTCTTATGTAATGTTCTGATGACTGGCTCATTAAATTGAACATTGACTGCATTGTGGTGTTTTCAAAATTCAACAAATGATAGTTACTCATGGAACATTGAAACAGTTTAACATCGTTTGTCCAGATCCATTAAAGCATACAACCATTTTGGATGTAGTTCCTGTTGATCTGGTAAAGTCCCAGTTCATAGCAAGTATCCAGCACTATCTTCTCTTTTTCACTGGCTGCATTGATAGCAATTTCAATGTTTCGGTCATCATTTTCGTCAACAAACCAAATTAATTTTGGCAGATTGAAATCGCCGGATACTATCAAAACATCTTTAGAACTCATCTTTGAAGCTATTTCTTTTGAAGCATACATGTTGTTTTCATATACTTTGAGAGTTGAGTCTGGTCTTATATATAACTCGACCAAAAAGATGTTCCTATTAATACCAGCTACTTTGACCCAAATTTTTTCCGCTCCGAATTGGTCACCCACTCCGATGCAAATTGACTTGAGTTTGTTACACTGACAAAACTAAGGTTGACAACATTGATTTACAACACCGTGTTGTAAATGCTTACATTCCAACGAATGTTGTGAAGTAGTCAATAATTGTTGTCATTGTGAATACATACAATGGCATATACAGTAAAACCTGTCAATCAGTAATGTGCGAGCTACATTTTACAGGAGGGGTGATTTTTCAAAAACCAAAAATTCTCTAGCAAATCAAACAAATTTTCGTTTTTTTTTTTTTTTTTTTTTTTTTTT